GAACTTCTTCCGATTTATAATTAAGTACTAACACTATTTCCTTCTCTCTTAGGCCTTCTCACTTAACCCTCTATCCTTCCTGGAATTCCCCCGCGCATAACCCGGCGACCCAGCGCACGGCGACGCGGCGGCCGGTGACACAGCGCGGTTGCACCGGCCACCTAGGACCTGCGATAGGCCACCTAACGGGCTGGTCACCGTCTCTGACCCGAGCAGCTATGCTAAGCGGTGGTGCGGGGTGACACGACTGGCTGGGGAAGGTTGCAGCAGCGTGCGGCCATCCACGACGGCAGTGTCGCTGTTCCGGTGAGCTAGGGTAGCTACAGGCCTAATTGGTTAGCGCGTGAGCATTAGTAGGCTACCATGGATTATGCCGAGGTGACGGTTGGGGCAGAGAATGATGGAGGAGGGCTAGCCACGTGCGTCCGAGCCGTGCGGCGGCGCACCGCGGCAGCACGATTGTGTCAGCAACGACGGGGAGGCGGTAGCGATTCTGCTGACATGCGCAAGGTGGAGAGGGAGGCAAGGTGAAACTAGTGGTGCAGGTGAATTGGCTCGGGAGGGACGGTAGGAGGGTTGCCTACATCCACGGCCGGACGTGGCCTTATCGGCACGACGGCGGGGAAACTCCAAAATTGGAACTTGGCAGTGCCTTCTTTATGGCTGGGTGGGGTTGGGCAGCGAGAGCATCTAATGGTGAAGACATGGATGCGCTGAATTGAATGGAGGTGATCACTCGATGGCCAATTGATAGCGCGGCTCGATGATGGTAGAGGGATGAGAACAGAGAGAGAGAGAGCGGTGGGGTACGGGCGGTGGCTCGACGTATACGTGCCTTGGTTGGATGTGGTTGACGCGATTGTGGAGACCCACGTCTAGGCACTAGCAGACAGGCACGCGCGTTCATGACCGGCGTGGCCCGCGCATCGCAGTGCCATCAATGACAAGGCGACGGTGAGCCCGGCCACGTGCGTGCGGCAGAGGCGGCATCGCACTAGGCCGGTAGTGGCGCAGAGATGCAGAGGGAGGCACGAACATGACAGAGAGGTGACGGCGCCGGCAACGGCTGCATCGTGGCGTGGGTGGGTCGACAGTGCGGCAGCACGGCAGGACCGGCAGTAGCATCGCCAAGCTACGCAAGCAGCGGCTCCGCGTGCTAGGAGCCAGCGGCGGCCAGGCCACAGCTAGGTCAAAGCAACCGGACACGCGCGGCAGCACGCGTGCGCGCAGAGCGAGCAGGCGTGGCGATGTCGTGCCCCCGAGGTGTGGTGACCGTGCTCACCCGTGAACTAGCCCGAGAACATGTTGTGCACAAAATTTAAAGCGCCTATAAAAACTAAACGGTTGCTTATAGGCCTAAACCATCTTCACCATGCTCAAGATGGCATATGAGGCTACCAACCCGAGCTAAAACATAACACCTTTTCTTAACCCGGTTTCACAAAATAAATTGCCGAACATAGCATTGTCTAGCTATCTATACATTTAAAAATCTTCTAAGTCCTTGAGCTGAACTTGATTCCAAATTGCATTTCTAGGCTATTAGAAATATTTGCTAGCAATGTTATTTTTCTACAGCAAGTATTTCATTGTCATCTACAAAGTTTATATTCCAAACTTTATTTAAGCGCTACACATATGTTCTATAGTGTTTTTGTTTAATAAAAATTACTTTTAAAACCCTACTTGATATACATAAGCTAGTGAATCAACTTTCGTTTAACATTTTTGTTAATCATTTTAGGTTATAAGAAATTGATCTACGCACTTTATCACATGCACTAAGATATAAACATGATGCTCATGACATATGTTAGTAAATGATTTCGAGTGTAACACCGAGGGTGTTACATGTACGGATTATTTCGATCTGCCCTACCACGACCACAACCCCTTTTGTTCACCCAAGAGTATCTCCAAGAGCCTTTCTAAATCTCATTCTCTAAATCTTCATTTGGAGAGTCATTTGAATAAAAATCGTTTTCTATATCTTTTCACTCTAACAGTTTTTTTTTCTATCTCGTGCGCACGCTAGAGTCATTCTCGTCTTCTATATTTGGTTGGCGGAAAATCCAGAATAGAAGATGGCTATATTTGGATAAACATTTATAGAAGCTATTGGAGGGTAGTTTTTTACCAAAATCTTTATTCCTAGCATTTATGAAGGATATAGAGAGTCTCTTGAAGATGCTCTAAGAACCTATTGTTATCTCATTGTTATACCCAGGGGCAGAGCTACACCTCTTTATTGGGGTTAGCTGACCCCTATGGTTTTTGACAAAATCAGCGAGAAATCACTATAGCACTATGTATAACATAAAAAATCCTAGACTACAACGTTGAAGACCTCGGTGAAGCTTTTTGTTGGCTTCGCCTCTAGTTATATCCCTTTTCACATGCATGTGTTATAACTCGTGTGCGCCTACTTGTTGATTATGAATACCACGAGGATTTGCATCATAGAAACTCATATTTGTAAAGCTATATGTATGCACTGCTGAAATTGGATTTTTTTGGACTAGCGAATACTCCTCATGAGCTGTCCGGACGACCCGGTAGCGGCTCTTTCAATTTGAAAGCTGAGTTGAATTTGTTTGCTAACGGGCAATCCTACAGGGACACAAGACAGTGCGCTAAGGCATGTAGTTTATGCCTTGGCCCCACATTTCAGCATGACCTAGCGCTTAGACTACCCACAACGTTGGTTTTCTGCGATTCTGAAAGAGGAGAGAGAGCGTTGGAGCATCAGTGCCGATCATTGTGGCTATTAATGCCAAGTTCAAATTTTGTCTACCCGAGGTATGTTCCTTCAGTAAATTTTTTCAACCGTCCGTTTGTCCTCTGCACACTGAGCAGTGAGCACTAAGCATTCACCTTCTTCACCTATCCACCAACACCATTCAGCCGTGCTGCATCATCGGGAGCTGGGCGAGCCCTGCATATAGGCGGCGATGGCCTCCACAGCTGCGTACACGCGCACCGTGACGGCAGCTCCACGGCACGGTGCATAGGTGCGGCGGCGACGGCCTCCGTGGCTCGGCGTAGGCGCATAGTCTACAGGCGTGGCGCGACCGCGTCATGGCATATAGGCGCGGGTGACGGCGGGCTCCGCGGCTCGGCATAGCGCGGGTGACCACGGCCCTCGCGGTGTGGCGTAGAGGAGAAGAAGTCTCCGATGTTTATCCTTCTATGCAGGTGCGAAGTGGTCATTCTAGGGGTCGATTTCAAGCAGATCCACCTAGGAGTAGTATGGATTCAAGATTTGAAGGAGAAGGAGGGCCTTGATTTGTGGATGGAGATCAATTTGGGCGGATTTTACTAGGGCGTCGGTGTTGACGGCAAGGGAAAGGTCAAGTGCACGAAGGACTTCGGAAGGAAGGAGACGGTTTTGAAACTTCGGGTCCCATGTACAGTAAAGCATCAATATTGACACTGGCCATATATGGTTTCGGGCATCGATATGAGGTGGCATACCGAGATGTTTTTTTCAGCATCGGTAACGTTGTAGCTAGTCTTATTCAACACACCATAGGGATGGGAGTGGATTGAATGAGGTACGAATAGAGCAACTATCCACACGTGAGAATACCCAACACATCAAACCTCACCTTCCCCACAAAAGCCTATTGGGTAGAATTTATCGGATTTCGTAAGGTACTCAACAGTTACCCACTACTTTGATAACAGAATTTTGTAAGGTACTCAACACTTGTACCCACTACAAAATTCTAATTGGTTTGCTATAGGTGCATGTACAAAATTCTCCCCACAAATCCATAAGGGCTACTTTGGAAGTGAAGGGAACCTAACCCAGGGAAGGAAAGCACGTGGGACGGATTTTGATGGCAATGCATTTCCCTGGGCAGACCTACCCACCAGGGTTTCAATTCCCTGTCGTTGTTTGGGAAGCGAGCTGTGGCTGGGCAGGTGTGGTGGAGCGCAGCCGCGCAGGGCAGCGAGCTGCAAAAGCGCGTGCTGGTGAGCTGCACGCCAACTGCCGCGTCCAAACGGTGCGCCCGTTGGAGGCGGAGTCGCGGCTCGTGGGAACAGGTGGCGGGGAAGCGCTCCTGGCCTATTGTCTCGTGGATTTGTCCCCCATGGAAAACACAGGGAAGGGGGCTAAGATCCCGTGTCTCACGAGCTTCCAAACGTCGTGCAAAATTAACGCGGGAGAGATCGCCCTGCGGGTTCCTCACCCTAGGAAATCGCCGGGAACCGGCGGGGATCTCGGCTTCCAATGTAGCCCTAAAGAGGTAATATCTCCCATATATCTCATTGGTTTGATATTTTTAATATGAAAATATTATTGCTAAGAAAATTAGTCTATTATTTTTTATGCGATTACTCTTCATTGTCCTTTCTTTGTAGAAGTGATGACTGACTAAAAATGTTTCAAACATCACGTTTAAAATAATTTTCCAATAGTATCACACAAGTTCAAACTTGAATTACTGTAATATTACATGAGCATAATCTTGCTAAATTAATACTAAGCCACCAGCCATAACATTTGCCCTCAGATCCTCTCTTCCCTCTGCTAAGTCGTAACCCTATTTCAAAGGATTTCAAAAGGCGCCACAAAAAGGCAGCCAATGAGAAGCCGGAGGCCGGAGCCCTCCTGCCCTGCATTTGCAAGACGACCCAAGCCCCGCAAGCCGCTCGGCCGTGGAGCCAGCAGCGGCAAGACCACACTAAAATCTCGCCCAAATCACCCCCGCCCCAGCCATGGCGACCTCCTTCGGTTTCGGCGGCTCCGCGGCCGCGGGCTCCACGGCCTCCTCCCCCTTCTCCTTCTCCTCCACCCCATCCGCCTTCTCCTTCTCCCAGCCGGCGGCTGCCTCCTCCCCTGCCCCCACCTTCGGCTCCTCCCTCTTTTCCTCATCCTCCGCCGCCGCTTCCTCTGCCCCCACTTTCGGGTCCTCCCTGTTCGGGGCCTCGTCCGCCGCCGCGCCCGCCTCCTCCCCCACTTTCGGCTTCGGATCCACCCCCTTCTCGTTCGGTCAGTCCACGGCGGCCGCGTCCGCGCCATCCCTCTTCGGCGCAACGCCCGCATCCTCCGCCGGAACAACACCTAGCTTATTCGGCGCTGCTACCTCCGCCGCAAACAGCCCTGGCCTCTTCGGTGCCGCCTCCGCTGCCGCAAGCAGCCCCGGCCTCTTCGGTGCGTCCGCCACCGGCTCTGCAGCGACCTCCTCGGGTCTGTTCGGTGGTACCGCCTCCGCGGCGACCACCCCGGGCCTATTCGGCGGGACTTCCTCCGCAGCGACCACACCGAGCCCATTCGGGGCCACCTCCTCCGCGTCGGCGACATCTAGTCTGTTCGGCGCCGCCTCTTCTGCTGCGTCCACCCCAAGCCTCTTCTCTGGAGCCGCCACGGGCTTTAGCTTTGGCTCGTCGGCGTCCGGTTCCACCACTACCACGGCCGCCGCCCCGGCACCAACAGTCGGCTTCTCGTTCAACTCGGGGGCGGCCGCGTCAAGCACTGCCTCCACCGCGACATCAGCACCGGCTTTAGTGTTTGGCGGCTCCACTGGCTCGTCACTGTTCGGATCCACCACCTCCGCGCCCCTCTTCAGCACCACCACCGCCTCTTCTCCAGCGCCTGCTGCGACCACCACGCCATCCTTTGGGTTCTCTTCCTCGCCAGCAACAACCGCTTCCGCCCCATCGTTTGGCTTTACACCGTCAGCAGGAAGCGCGACTACGGGGAACACGGCTCCTTCCTTGTTCTCATCTGCTTCCTCGAGCCCTGCCTTCGCTTTCGCCAAGAGCACATCCACCACTACAGTAACCACACCGGCGTCCTCGCCCTCCACTGGCTTCTCCTTGGCCACTTCGCAGGCTGCACCTGCTCCCTCATTGTTCTCTAATACCAGTGCAGCAGGTAGCTCGTCTGCCACTACACCTGGATTCTCGTTTGGTTCATCTTCGGCAGCTTCTACACCAACTTTAGCTTCCGTGTCTGCAACTGGTGCCTCCACTGTGCCATCAGCTGCTGCAGCTTCTGCAACATCTGGGTCATTGTTCCCAGCTGCTTCTACCAGTAGTTTCAGTTTTGCAGTGGCGCCATCATCGTCATCAGCAGCGGCAGCTACTGCCACTACCACCACTGTCACAAGTGCATCTACATCTGCAGGCATGACAACCACGGCTCCTTTGACTGGAACAGCGGGGTTTCCAAATTTTAATCTTCAAACAACTACACCAGCTTCTACCTCATCTCCCACACTGGCATTTGGTGAGCTTACATGGTTATTCATCATCTGCAATTGTTCTTCAGCGTTTTTGTTACCATGCCTACGTGTCTGATTTGAACCAATTATTATGCTTCTGGATTTGGTCCCAATACCTTCATTGTTACAGCATCACACACTTAAAGTTACAGAATCCAGTTTGTAGAGCATACTAACATCTCATATGAATCTACATCGTTGCTTCAGATCCCAACATCATTATTGTACCTGCACTATACTGACCATTATGCTTATATGTTTTTCTTATACTATAGGTGTTTCTACTGCTGCTGCTAGCACATCAGCCACCAGCACCACAACTCAGGCAACTTCCTCAGCTGTTCAAGCTAGCAGCACAGGGTTGTACAAGTTCCCCTGGTCTATTTCTACTACTAATTCTTCATTCTGAACTGATATTTTTTATTTTCTCTGTGCAGTCCGACTACTACTACATCTATCACTCCAGCAGCGTCCCAGGCACCTAAGCTACCATCAGAAATTGTTGGCAAAAGCGTTGACGAGGTACTGCACTTATCTATTTAAATTGCAGCTAGCTGAATTTCACTTTGGCAATTACTTTTTTCTATTGGCAATGCTCTGGAGGCTAGAGAATGTGCTTCCTGAATACTTCATTTCTGTAATTAACCAGTTTGATACTATTTCACTTTTGAGATATACCTCACACAATTGTCTGCGTTGTAGATTATTAGGGACTGGAACAATGAGCTTCAAGACCGTACTGCGAAATTCAGGAAACATGCCACCGCAATAGCTGAATGGGATAAGAGAATTCTGCAAAACAGAAATGTTCTTATTAGGCTTGAGGTTTGTGTTTTCATTTATTATCGCTTTCTCGAGCAGCCTGCCACATTGTATTATTACCAGGGGTTTCAAACTATTTGTCAATTTTCAAATTCGAGCTCTTGCAGTGAGGAGATTAGCAAGGTTATACATATGCTTGTGCTTATTATGGATTGTTATTGAGTACCGTTTTCTAAAATAATGTTTAAAATAAATGATATTATATGCTTTGTTATGAGGAGATGAAAGCGGGCCAGGAAGGGTTAGTTCAATCCAGTTCCACAAATATTGGTAATACGAAGACCTGAATTGCAGTTTACCCAGTTCTGGATTGTGTATTGTTAGGTTAATGTGATGAGAAGAGCTTTAGGTGATCTCCTCGTAGAGATTTGACTGGGCAAAGTTTTGCTGGTGTGACTAAGTTTTGGAATAGTAATACAAAATTGGCACAGCAAAATCCATTTAAAATTCAACATTCTTTATTTCGATTTGATTTTTATCTTGTTAACATCAGATTTATTAGCTTATACAATCATAGTTTAGGTCATCGATTTTGATGGGATAAAAATTGTGGGATATGGAGTTTGAAAGTGGATGAAGATATGCTATTTCCATTCACTGAAGTTATTGGCAAGTGAAATGGAGTTTAGGTCATCGATTTATTAACAAGTGATTAGTCTGAACACTGAAGGTCTGAAAAGCTCAACAAGTATTCATACTTATCATTACTTAAGGAATCCAAACAACAGGAAAATCGATGGTTTCTCAAGGAATTCCAACTGTCTTGGTGAATTCATTTGATTCAGATTAGTGTTTACCTTCTGCAGATGTTTATGCACGATTTTGTTGTGATGATATTTGTACTACTGAGTATGTACATTTTTTTTTTTGCAGGCTGAGGTGGCTAAAGTTGTTGAAACACAAACAGGCTTGGAGCGTCAACTTGAGTTGATAGAAACTCATCAGCGAGAGGTTTGTGTTTCTGCTAAGTTTTTTTACGTTTCCTTTACTCTTATTGACTGTAGCTTTATCCTTCGTTCTGTGCTTTTGTTTCTCTCCTTATTTCTGTAATTGGTTATCTGCTGACATTACATTATTTCATACCAGTACAGTATTTATATACTATGCCAAAGACCTCACCTCTTTGAACTATGCCCCCCATTGTTATCTGCACATAAGTAGTTTGACTTACCTACCATGAATTTGTTTTTTTTTTGTTGTCTTAGTTGTAGATAGCGAGAAGCTCTTTATAGGAGGTGATCTTAATGGCCATGTAGGTACATCAAGTGCAGGTTTCGAGGCGGTTCATGGGGGTTTCGGATATGGTAGTAGGAACCAGGAGAGAGAGGAAGTCTTAGACTTCGCCATAGCTTTTGATCTGATGATAGCTAACACTTTCTTCCGTAAGAGACAATCCCATTTAGTGACCTTTAGTAGCGGCCGGTACTATAGTCAAATCGACTTTGTCCTTACAAGAAGGAGGGATAAATGAACATGCGTGGACTGTAAGGTGATACCTAGAGAATGTGTGGTCGCTCAACACAAGCTGGTGGTGGCTGACTTCCGTTTTATGGTGCAAGCTCGTGGGAACAAACAAGCTAGGGTTGTGTCGGTGTTTCGAGTAAGCACCGGCTATTAAATTTGTATATTGCGCGTCTGACCCGGATGATGTGCTAAGAGGACACAAGGATTATACTGGTTCGAGCCGAATGTCCCTACGTCCAGTTTTGGGCTGCTCGTGTTACCAGCACTGTGTTTGTAGTAGGGGTTACAAACGGGCGAGAGAGGGAGGAGCTCCTAAGTCTCTGGTGTGATGCGGTGTGTTTGTTCGATGAATCGATGTGCGATGAACCGATGCCCTTAGTGGGACGCCCTGCTTTCCCTTTTATAGGCCAAGGGAAAGCAGGGGTTACAGCGGAAGGGAAGAGGGAAAAAGAAAAGGAAATAAGGCTCCCAGGGGTGTGATGTCTTCCTCTTCGCGTGGGTCCCGCCGACCCTGTAGATCGTGGTGGCAGCAGCGTCGTAGCGGGGTCCTGTTGGCTGCTGCAGCATACGTGCGGGCGTCGTGCGTCATTCTTGTCTTTCATCCCATCCGAGCGGATGGAATGGTCAAAGAGTCCCTTGACAGGGGTCATACGGGGGGCTAGCGGTACAATGCCAGTCAACTGACACCGGTCGACTGACGTTGGACGGTGGTCAGGCAGGGAGTTGGCAGTATAGTGACCACGCGTCCGTCACTGTGGGCGATGTGAGTTCCCCAGAATGACATGTCGTGGGGACGAGTCGTGCTGAGACGTGACCGCTCCTTGTACGATGCCAGAAGTTTGACCTTGAGTAGTACTTTCTGATCCGTCGTGGTTGGCGGCGACGTGAGCTTCCGTTAGGAATCGTGTCCGAGGGATCGGGCGAGGCGGAGCTAGCCCTCAGACGTCGACCGAGGCGGAGCCTACCCTCGTGGGTCGGCCGAGACGGAGCCTACCCTCGGGAGTCAGCCGAGGCCGAACCTACCCTCGGGAGTCAGCTGAGGTGGAGCCAGCCCTTGGATGTCGGGCGAGGCGGAGCCGGCCCTCAGACGTCGGGTGCGGCAGAGCCAACCCTCGGGGGTTGGACGAAACGAAGCCAACCCTTGGAAGTCAGCCTAGGTGGAGCTGACCCTCGGGGGTCGGGCAAGGCGGAGCCCACGGCCTCTGTGTCCACCGAGGTGGAGCCAATCCTCGGGGGTCGGGCGAGGCAGAGCCCGCGACTTCAGTGTCCACCGAGGTGGAGCCAACCCTCGGGGGTCGGGCAAGGTGGAGCCCATGGCCTCGGTGGTCAGGCGAGGCGGAGCCCAGCAAGAGGTGTAGTCGCGCTCTTGACCGCTCGGATGAATTAACGTTGATGGTTATTAGCTCCTCTTCGGGTACCCTAGTATTGGTCCCCAACAGGTTGCTAGAACGAAGTGGTGGAAATTAGAAGGGGAGGCATCAAAGGTCTTTAAGGAAAAGGTCATTGAAGAGGGCCCTCGGAATGATGAAGGCGATGCAAACAGCATGTGGGAGAAGATGACAACATGCGTTTGGAAGGTTGCTTCAGAGGTGCTTGGGAGTGACCAAAGGGAGCGGATGCGACTCGGAAGGCACTTGGTGGTGGAATGAAGATGTGCAAAAGGCTATTAAGAAGGAGTGCTATAAGCGCTTGAATCATGACAGGTGTGCAAACAACATAGAGAAGTACAAGGTGGCAAAGAAGACTGCAAAACGAGCGGTGAGTGAGGCAAAGGGCGCGGGCCTATGAGGACCTTTACCGATGTTTGGGTACGAAGGAAGGAGAGAAGGACATTTATAGGATAGCTAGGGCTCGCGATAGGAAGACAAGGGACTTCAACCAAGTCAAGTGCATAAAGGATGAGAGAGAGCAGTTCTTGGTGAAAGAGGATGAGATCAGACATATATGGCAAGAGTATTTTGATAAATTGTTCAATGGTGAGAACGAGAACAATACCGTTCAACTGGACGACTCGTTTGATGACACTAACAAGCGCTTTGTGCAGAGAATTCAAGAATCGGAGGTCAGAGAAGACTTGAAAAGGATGAAAGGGGGCAAAGCGATGGGCCCTGATGGTATCCAAATCAAGGTGTGGAGATGTCTCGGGGACATAGCTATAGTATGGCTAACCAAGATGTTCAACAATATCTTTCGATCGAACAAGATGGATTAAGTTGATGATGTATGTTCTTGGTGAATTAAGTTGATTGAGCCTTGGTAATAGACGAGGTTACCAAGAACATACAAGGGGATGTCCCTTGGTGTATGTTGTTCGTTGATGATGTTGTGTTAGTGGACGAAAACCAGGCGGGAGTAAATAGGAAACTAGAGTTATTATGGCAGACCTTTGAGTCTAAATGTTTTAGATTGAGCAGAACTAAAACCGAATACATGAGATGCGACTTTAGCGGAGTTGTGTAGGAGGAGGGAGATGTGAGTTTGGAAGGTCAAGTAGTGCCTAAGAAGAATATCTTTCGGTATCTAGGGTCGATGCTACAGAGGGATGAAGATATTGATGCGGACGTTAGCCATAGAATCAAAGCAGGGTGGATCAAGTGGCGACAAGCTTCTGGCATTCTCTGTGACAAAATGGTACCACAAAAGCTAAAATGCAAGTTCTATAGAACGACGATTAGACCGGCTATGTTGTATGGAGCAGAATGTTGGCCTACAAAGATTTGACATGTTCAACAACTGAGTGTTGCAGAAATGCGTATGTTGCGATGGATTTGCGGTCACACAAGAATGGATCGAGTTCGGAACGATGATATATGTGATTGCCTAGAGGTAGCACCAATTGAAGAAAAGCTTGTCCAACATCGGTTGAGGCGGTTTGGCCATGTCCAAAGGAGACCTCCAGAGGCACCAGTGCATTGTGGAGTCCTAAGCTAAGCTAATAATATGAGAAGAGGTAGAGGAAGACCGAAATTGACATGAGAGAAGGCAATAAAAAGAGATTTGAAAGCTTGGGATATACCTAGAGATCTATGTTTGAATAGGAGTACTTAGAAAGCAGCTATTGAAGTGCCTGAACCGTGACTTGGGGCTCTTGGTGGGTTTCAACTCTAGTCTACCCCAACTTGCTTGGGACTGAAAGGTTATGTTGTTGTTGTTGTTGTTGTTGTTGTTGTTGTTTGTCTTAGTTGTGGTTGACCAATCATTTGCCAATGGGAAGTTCAGATTTGCTTCACTTCTATTCAATGTTGTGAACAGAATGAGCTCCCAAATGCTGGATCCCTTGGCATATGTACTAATTTAACAGTCTTGAACAAAACTTCCAAATGCAAGGTTTCTTGGCTTATGTACTAATTAACAGTAATACAATACTTGTTCTAGTTTGACTTATGCTGAACTTAAATTAGAAGTCAGGATAACCAATGGTTAGAAAGAAATTGCATTGGAAATTTGAATTGTGCATACAATTAAAATGAAATCCATGTAACGCGATGCTGGCTATTTGATAGGCCTACGCCTTACTTGGCTTGGCTAGTATAGCTTATTAGACATGAGGTGTCTGTTTAACATCTCCCTGCTGAAACTAATGGTGCAACTTTGAATGAGTTAATAAAGTCCTTGAACTCAAACGTGGTAGTTCGACTCTAAGATTTATGAGCATCCTTGTATGGAAGTTCCTTTTTTTTTTGACCTTGTATGTGATCCTGATTTTGCTTTAGACTAGAGATTCCTTTGAGATGAATTCAAGGCCTGCAATACCATCAGCAATGTGCCTTGCTTAGTGATCGTGTTTTATTCAAAATATTCGAATCAGTGTCCTTGCAATATTTTTATGTAGTTTAGCCTTGTTTTTTTTTAAATGTCGAGAATAGTTTCTACTATCACGAAGAAATGGGCAAGGATACACAATTTAGCTGTTTCCATGATCCATTTTGGATTTTTGTCCTTGAGTCCCTTGACCCACAAATCGAAGTATAGTTTAAATCTACAAATTGAACCACATCTGGCAATACAATTTCTGCAGTCTGTACTCTACTAACTAGTTCTAGTTTACTGTATTATCGCTGCTTTCTTGATCGAGTTTGACCTTGAGTCCTTGACCCATTAAGTGTGAATCAAACTACTGTTCTAATCTACCAATTGAACTGGATATGTCCATATTATTTCAGCAGTCTGTTCTCTGTACTAACTAGTACTAATTGACCATCTGATGTGCTTGCTTAGCCAAAAGGTATGTACTCTGGAGAGGTTTAATCATTCAACTTCTAATTTGCAAAGAACTTGTTTTATAATTGCAGGTAGACAAGGCTCTACAGAGTATGGAGGAGGAAGCTGAACGCATATTCCAGGATGAACGAGTGTTACTTCGTGAAGATGAGGCTGCTTCAGCAAGAGATACTATGTTAGTTCAATAAACTTATCTTGATTCTGTCTGAGTTTTTTAGTTTTACTCCAATCTAGGTGAATGTAGTTTAAAAAACACAGTTCAACTCATTTTGGAAAGAAAATCAGTAGTTTGGTCTCTCAAAATGACCTCCATAGTCCATATTATTTTTGAGGGAACTGAATTGAATATTACGTATATAAATAGCAGACAACCTGTTTATACTTGTTTGATGGCCTGTTTGCACTGGTGTTATATACTCCTTCCATCCCAAAAATAGTTGACACTTTAGCTATGAATTTGGACAAATAACTGTCAAAAGTTTACAGAACTTGTCCTATTCCGTTAAATTAGCCTACACTGTTAATTTTGTGATAGAAAATGCCAAAATTACCATCATTCATGCATAGTTTGTTTTGTGTGATTGTGTCTCCAACTAAACTTGTTTTTCAATGCTAAGGTATGAACAAGCAGAAGTTGTGGAGCATGAACTGCAACATATGACAGAACAAGTAAAATCCATCATTCAGACTATGAATGCTACTCAGGTAACGGTCATGTACTAACAGACTTGCTATTGACTCACGAGCAATCTCTTACTCCCCTTGTCTATTTCAGGGTGGTGAGCTCGAGTCCGCTGATAGTATGACACCATTTGATGTTGCGGTCCGGATACTCGATAATCAACTGCGTTCCCTGATGTGGATTGATGAGAAGGTCAGGATATTTATCCGCTTATAATTACTTTTAGTTTTATTTCTTTCAGTTTGGCATGTTCAAACCTGACACGTGTTCTGTTAAAACAAATTGTTTAACAAATGCTTGTTAAATTATGGGCCTAAAATATTGTAGTGTGTTTCCTGTTGAGTCTGGAAGGTGGTACCTTTCTTTCTGCACAGTTATTTTATTGTCTTATTATCCATTTTATTCCTGTGCCATTCTTACAAATCATAAGTTTTTCAAGTGTATATATATGTTAGCAATGATGTTGGCAGGAAGTGGCGTGCTATTCTCTGATTCTGTGCTACCGACGATACTTTTATACACTGTTCTGTCAAATCCTGCCTTTTCACAAATGATTGATTGCCTTTGATCAAAACCAGAGTAACTTGATCTATACACCACCCTTGCCTTTGATCAAAACCAGAGTAACTTGATCTATATACCATCATTTTGCCTTTGATCAAAACCAGAGTAACTCGATCTATTTCATCTTTTTCTTTGCATGATGTTAGATGTATTCATGATCTCATGCACAGGATTTTTAATACTCCCTCCGTCTGCACCTAGACAAGTATCTGTCTAGCTGCATAGCCAGAAATGCATTTATTTTGGAACAGCATGATTAGTGATTATTCAGTGGAATTAATTGTCTAATCTGCTGCCGTGAAACCATTATTGATATATGTTTTTTTTGGCCTAGGTTAACGAGTTCTCTGGCAGAATACAGAGGCTGCCCAACAACAGCTCTTCAGCTGAACGTGACTCAGGGATTCCCAGGTTTTGGTTAAGCTGATTAATTCGCGTCATTTGCTTGCTGCTCTGATCGAGGCTTAGTAAGCATTCTTTGCTTGGTTATTCTGCTGCTCCACCAGCCAAGGTTTCGCGTTATTTTCTACCAGTTCATGTAGTTTGGTGCCATGCAGCTCTAGCTGGTTCACTCTGGATTGATACCATTCAATGTCACATCATGCTGTTTGGTTAGTCATTTTTCAGCGTGCTTTCTGTTTGTTAACCTTGGATGTGAACTGATGGTGCTAACTTCGGTTTGTTTAACCCTGGACGTGATTCGCTAGCAGGATTACAGTATGTTTGGATCTATATAGGGCGTCACTATATCTAGTAGTCAACTAGTAACTCAATGAACTATCTAGCTAATTAAAAGTTACGTGCTGTTTGGTTGGTAGAACAGTAACACAAATGGAAATGATATCGGTTCAAATCGTACGAGTTGCCGTAACGTCCACAGCTTTAATTTCTTTACATTTGTTTTACCAATGCTTACAACCAAACAACACTTTAGTACCTATCAGACATGATTCAAACGGGACTCACCTAAGAGCATCTCAGTCTCTTGTAAACTCAATCTCTCAATCATTATTTGGAGAGCCATTTGAATATAAATTGCTCTTTATATTTTTCCATCCTTCAACTTCTCTATATTCTATGCACACTTTATAGAGTTAGCCTCACTCACCGTTTTTGGCTAGCGAGAAGTTGGGAATAGAGGATAGCTATATTTGGAGACCTAGGGGGCTATTTGGTTACTACTTACTAGCCACAATTTGCCATAACCAACCTTATGCAAGTGTGGCTAGTACAAAAGCTATTAGTTGACTTTTCTCTATTTACTGAATGTTGACTATTAGCTCTAATGGATCTAAAAGTGCCTTTGGACCTTTAACGAGGCAATTTAGGGTAAAATAAAATTTTCAATCTCAAACTTATGCGGTAGTTTGATCTTCAACCTAAACTATGAAACTAGATAACAGACACACTCCAATTTTTAAAATCGGACAAATCTGATTAACTATTTGAACATTCATAAATAATTTATTTTAAATCGGAAAATGAGACTAGTACCATTTTTTTCCTAAAAATGTTCTCTACTTGTTTATGATCTAAATATAGGTTTTTGGAATTGGTTTATTCCTGTTCCTACTACTTTATTGCTCGTAGTTGTGCTTATTAAAACAAGTAAGATCCGAATAACTCGAAATACAGCATTAATAGATAGATGGTGTTTTTAGAAGAAAAAAACTAAAACTAGTTTCATATTTTTATGAATTATTAAATAAATTAATTATGAATTTTTAGATATCAAATCAGATTTTTTTATTTTAAAATCAGAAAAAGAATCAAGTTTGTCTGGTTTCGACAGTTGGAGGTCAAGGTTGAAATCGAACTATGCTTTGAGGAGAAGGTTGAAAAATATACTTTACCATTAGTTTATACCCAATTTGGGCGGTATGTCGCATGCAATAGTGATCCGATCAGCAGGATCCTCTAGAAGGAAAGGGAAACATTCCCATTGCTTCCGTTTAGCCAGCACCCAGGTTGGTTGGCCATGGATGCTCCCGCATGCTCGTTGGCAAGCTTGGCCGTCGACTCTGGCGTGAGCAAAGCCAAGCTCAGCGCCACCTTAACTGAGTTCGATGATAGCCTCGTCCAGACCATCCACGGCTATATCGAGCTCAAATTTAGCCTGGGAAGTGTATCAAATCGAAACAGGGGACGACCAAAACGAGCTCTCTGCCTATGGCCAAACGTGTCGAGACGGCCAAAACGAGTTCCTCAGGCCACCGGACCCCGCGCTCTGGCTCTGACCCTTTTTTTTTCCGTTGCCGTACGTATCGTGTTTCGGTTTCTTTGCTAAGGTCTTCTGACCTCTTTTTCTTTGATGTATCGAGACACGCTATTTGTGAAGCAGGGTCAACTACAGACTGGTGTATCTATCCCTTCTCCCTAATAATAAAGAGACAAAATTTATGTGGTACTTTTTTTTTTCTGCCTCTTCCTCCCGTATCCCGTATTCTTGTATATTTTTTCGTTCCAGTCTGTTCCTGTACAGGTTCTATCTGTATTCACTTTGTCCAGCCCATAATCAGTGGCCTTTATGACTCGGTTTGGTCTTGCATCCTTCGTCTTCGGTAGCATCCGCCACAAAGCCCGCAACCGAGTCGATGTCGTTTCCGTCCGTACAATTTTGTTTTGCCCCTGTTTTTTTTTTTTTTGTTTTCGTTTTCTCATGTGCTCAGTCACCAAGTCCGTGCGTCGTTGGTGCATTCCCTCCACACAGCTTTGTTTTCTGATTTTTTTTTTTTTTTTCTTTCTCGTTTTTCTTATATATAAAGATAAAGATAATAATATGGAATATATATACAATTATGAATCTTTAAACCCTTTATCGGTTCACCCGTCTCTAATAAACAAATATTTATATCATCAAATTGGTGATATAGTTTTAATAATAAATAAAACTTATTTTTTTTATTATAACCTAAATTAGCTAATGGTCTAACTAATTAAGCTAGATCCAAAATCTTGAGCAGTTTGTTATACATGTATCTACTATTTGGACACATATATCCTCGATTAGAGATACCATACGGGAATTGAGAGAGGTCTTCGTCATAATCAAGATTAATCCTTGACATGATGACAACTAACTCCTTACGACGTCAAACAGATATTAGGATTACATATTTTATGGGTCCTCAAAGAAAGTCATGGGACTTGATGGCATCCAACCTTCTGAAGTAAACTAGATGAAATCAAATGAAATTCCGAACCAATGATCTTGGATCAAATCGAACACCTAGTAAACAAGACTAGGAACATAGCAAGTGAACCAAATAAAGTCCAATCAAATCCCAAGCAAAATGACCCTCAGCCTCAAATGAACCAGATTGCATTGAACCTTGTTTAGAAAACAAGAGCAACCAATCCCGAACCCTACTGGTGCTGGATCCCAATCCCAATCACTGTTGTTGTTGGTGCTGGAACTATAGCCCTTTTTTACATAATAAAATCAATTTGATAATTTATTGATTATATTTTGACTATAGTGGTTTTTATATAATTATGGAATAATAATAATAATAATAAGGTAATTTTCTTCTCCCGTTGCAACGCACGGGCATATTTGCTAATATAGTTATAAAAAAGGTAGAGACGGATACAATTTTCGTAGGCACTGTTACAGATGTACAGCCTAGATAATTTTATGCGTTCAATATGGGGCATAAACATGAAGAACTAACCGACGCCCTCTTTTAAATGTTGATGAAGTAGTTCGGTCGACTGTAATTATGATTCCAGTCGCTTCTTATTCCACTCCATTTCCATAAGAGCCAAGAGGCGATCCAATATAATGTGGACTAATGGGCTGTCTAGGTCTGTTCCGCTTCTAATAGGGCCCATCAAACTCCAAGCTCTTTTGCATTACGCAACGATACCTTCCCGAAAGCACGCTAACCTTTTATTTTTTTAATGCAGCACGCTAACCTTCTGTAAAGATGCTATATCGCTGCTTGGTTAAAAAAAAAATGATGCTATATTGCTATCTCAACTCACTTTCATCCCTTCTGTGCAAAAAGCGACGTGACAATATGCTTTTGTTTTCCATTTTAAGCTTATCAAGCTTGCTAACATTCCTTAGCGTGGTTTTGATCGGCTCCGTACAATCAGGATAAGTTTTTTCCTCCTTGATAGAAAGCTATCGTCTCCCTTCACCTGAAATGACAAGCTAGCTTCATGACCGACAAATCAGGCAAAACAGTGTGTTTCTGGCACGCTACACTCGCTGCTGGTTTCTAGCAATATCTTTCTAGCTTCATCAGCAAATGCAAATCCGTTGCAAACGGCAAGCACTAAGCACAACTCATTAACTCATCATGGGATTCCTTTCAACGGCAAGTGTGAGCTGCATGTGAATTGTGAGGTTCGAGCGGAGGAGCGTTATTAAACCAAACCATGTCCATGTGCGGAAAACCCTCCGAACTCGGAATCAAATCAAAACGAAAACCGTCATCAACGGATACTTGGTGCTAGATTAAACCACCTGTGAAGTAGTCGACGGCACATGGCCGCTCTGTGCCGCCACCACCGCCAGTGGCTCGCCCGATGGCAAGTGTTGAGAGGACCTGGAACACAGATACATGCATGCAACTCGCAAAAGGAAATCTGGAGAGAAACCGGTGAAGGAGGCACATGCCAGCTCCATGTGAGGCTGATGCCCGAGGGAAGAAGGTCAGGGAATCCATCTCATCTCCCATTCTCCACCTCCCCAGCTGCAATCGGTCACATGGGCGAATTAAAAGCGCAATCTTGGTAACCAAGGTCCGTATAGGTAGCATAGATGCTGCTGTGACCCGGAAGCCAATAATGCAGCGGTACGATGTATTGTATGCAGCACGCTAGTGGTGTGGTGGCAGTGGAGTCCAATCCTTGAAAGTGAGGCTTACCCACCCGGCTTGTACGAGTATGGTATGATTAGACCTGCTGCTGCTAATCAGAGTGACCAATGACACGGTGTCACTATGCGCAAAGCCAAGGCCTTTTACGATCCAGAAAGGCCACAAGAGAATTATGGTCTGCGCCGACCCAAGCCGCGGCCGCAACATCCGTCGCCACCATTCATCGCTTTGTGGTCCTTTCGAAGAAGCCCGGCAAAAGCGGCACGACCCAAGCAAAAGGGCGCGTCGCAGCTTGCTAAGGATCGCAACATTTTACAGCCCCAACCCAAGAGGGTACAGGAGGTCCAAAGCGAGGTGAGGGCAACAAACAAAGGCCACTGTGTTTTGCCTTTAGCTAGCATGAGGAATCGTCCAGTCCATTACAATTACCCACACGCTACACAACATGGACCGACCTCCATGAATCAAGGGAGGAGGAAGGAGAGGAAAAAAAAACTAATGAACCCTATAGGATATGTATGTCATATCATATGGATTATGGAATCGTCACTCTCCCGCTCGCTCTCACATCACATGAGTCCAGAGCGCAAGCGAGCTAGCGAGCCTTATATGCCATGACCATCACTCACACTTAATACTGGTGGCAAGCCAAACAAAAACAAAACGACACCAAGGGCGACGGACCGATCGATCGGGGCGGGGTGGGAAAGCAACGCGGCATCTTATGGCAGGGACGACGGGACACGAGCCGCCTTGCGTGCGTGACTCTGCTGATCGAGTTCTACTACCCTAGTGGGAGGGGGAGGAGGCTTGTATATTACAAGGCGACCAAAACCTAGCAATTATCACTGGCTGCATGCAAGCGACGCGCCGGCCGCGCGCGGGAGAGTGGGGGGAGCTCCTTGCCGTGCCTCCAGCCGGCGCTGCCATCACGGTGCGCGGGCGGGCGCTCTAGTGGTGCGGCAACGGCGCCGGTGACTGCACGGTCGCCGCGACGGGCGGCTTGGGGCACTGGTAGCACTTGGCGAACAGCCCGAACGTGTCGACCTGCCTGATGAAGTTGACCATGCTGGCCCAGCCGCCGAGCCCGAAGCCGACCACCAGCACCCACACCACGATGAACATGTTGAGGACGAACATCGCCGTCCAGCTCGGCAGGAAGAACGGTGGCTTCTCCGCGGCGTTCTGTTGCATTCATTTTTCAGTGAAGCATAGTCAGAATTCGATCATCAGAAGCACTGATATGACGAGGCAGAATTCAATATACACACGGCTGTGCAAGTGCAGGACAGGAATAAGATCAGCATCGCGCGTGCCCGGTTTAAGTTGTTCCTAGTACCATCTTTTTCCCGGGCATTTTCAAGGCCCCTGCTCGATTTCCTTTCGGAAATAAAGCTGGGGGAAAAGGAGCGCGAGGAAAGGAACCCTCCAGCGCACACCGAGATCTCCATCGCCATCCCATGGAGACAGAGGAGCCATCTCTCGCGCTCCAGGCCATCCCCCACACGATGCCTGCCCGGCCGCGGCATCTCTCTATCCCTGCGAGCGCGAGCGGCCGAGTGCGTCCAGACGCGCGCGCCAGTGCCGCGACGTCGATCACCGTCGCGCGCCTTGCCAGGAGGGTCTTTCCTTCCGTGACAGCACGACACCGGACATCAGCACCGCATCGGAGCTACGTCAGCGATATGCAGCAACGGTTGCTTTTCACTGACACGCCGGAGGACGCGAGCGTAGCCATCGCCGCCGTGCCGTACTCGAAAAAAGGTCGGGCCTCCCCCGCCCGCTCGGCCGGGACTGAAGCAGCCGGCAGATGGATCTGCCATGGCCACTGGCATTTGCCGAGGCGATGGGGGTGAATGGGTGATCATGACGTGGGGGGTGATCCGATCACCCCGATCCATCGTCGTCCATATCGTTGTCGGGCGCCGCCGGGGCGGGGCCGCCTTCGAATTAATGTGGCTGTTGGCTGGATTCAATGATTGGGGATTTGCCCTTGCCCGACCTGTTTTCCGCTTGACTTATAATCCGTACTTTTTCAACTCACAACAAATCAGTCAACAATACTTTTAGCTATGGCTTATCAGCCAAACAAACAGTGCGCGGTGCTCCTGTGCATTTAACATGAATGAACTGGCTGCTGCTGCCTGTGCAGGGATCTCCACTATCTATTCTGTGGCCTGTGCTGCGTGTGTGTTCCAATCCTGCCACTGTTCGTGACAGGTGCACGGCTGCTGGGACTAGGAGTACTGCACTAGACAATGGGATGAACGGATTGGGTCACTGCTCACTACTCGTATTCGTACCAGTCGGCAATGCAACGCACGGCCAAGGCAGTACAGCATCTCATCTGGCCTGCCATCAAACAGCAATTTCTCTGCTGGTACGTGAAGCACGTACGGGCTCGAAGCTTGCGTTTGATCGATCACGGATGGATCACTTTAAAGAAGCGAAACGACGGATGCAAATGCATGCACGTACGTACGAAATGAACGAATGAATGGGTCGGGGGTCAAGAGGACTTACCATGCGCGCGGACGCCGTGCGGAAGGTGAGGATGTGCGCCAGTGCCGGGATGATGTAGACGGTGAAGCTGACGAGCAGCGCGCCGACGGCGGAGTTGATGGGCCCGAAGAAGGGGAAGATGATGGCCAGGAACCAGATGGGCACCACGATGGGCAGCCGCGCCAGCGCGCGCTTGAAGATGCTCTTGGTGTCGTGCATCCCGATCACCTTCTCCCACACGAAGTAGAGCGGCGTGCACGCGAACCCGAACGTGATGAACTGGTGGATCAGCATCAGGATCACCGCCGCGTCGCGCCACCGGGTCTTGGGCAGCAGCGAGAAGGCGTTCGAGTGAGTCAGCAGCTCGTCGCCGAACGCCCAGTACATGGCCGCCGCCGACGGCAGCGTCAGCGTGAACACGTACAGCGTCGCCAGCAGGTAGATGTACTTGAACTTGGCGGGCTTCCACATCGCGTGCATGATCTCCCTGTGAAACAATAAAACAAACAAGTAGGATTAGCTTGTTTTCGTTCATTCGTCAGACAAAACTTTGACTAACTACTGCAATCCTGCATTCAATCAATATAGTTCTTTCTTCTTCGCTGTTGGCTTCACAAATCATTTCCCTTCTAACAAAGTTATTGTACATCATCAGTGTGTGTATATATGTATAGAGAAACAAATACTAGTAGGAGAAATTAACGGACAAAACGGCCTTGCACATGCGAGTCAATGATGCCGCGACTTTAGTAGTTGATGAAATGATACGCGACGACGGCAAAAGGGAATCCGGCGCGGCAAGTGCTTCTCCCAGTCACGCACCGGCACAGCAGGAGGATACTTGCAAAGATCTTGGCGGCAGGAGGAATCTTGCAAGCTCTCGCCAACACATGCAAGCGCCTCCAGTCAAATGATGGAGTGGAGTACCCGTCAAATGCGGCCAAATAAGGCCGTTACCAGTAAACTAATCATCTGCTGCTGCCAACACACTCAGCTCCAGCTTAGGAAGACCTCGTGATGCATGTTAAGCTAGTAGTAATACTCTAATTGTCACATCACTCTCAGTCTCCAGAGCAGTAACTACAGCATAACTGGCATAAGCTCTGAAGCAATTGCTTGAATCCAGCAAGGGTGAAGCGCACAGTGACTCTGTGAGTCAAGATGGACAGAGACACTCACTCGCCTTCTTTTTTTAGGAGATGCATTACTCAAAGTGGGCATATGTCGCCTCTGCTCCACCAAGCAAGGCTTTTCCCTGGCTAGCCTACAGCCCTAAATACCAAATGTCCCAATCCATGGATGGTTGCAAGCTTATCATCATCATGTCGCCCCTTGCATGAGGGCAACAAGGAATGAATTGCGCCTGCAGGGGCATGATGTGAACTCCGCGCTAGCTGAATTCAATGAAGCGTGGTTTCCTTTCCCATTTCCCCTGCTGCACTAGAACAAGCAGTGAACCAAAGCACCCACATGGCGGAGCTGGGGAGATAGAAAATTCCCAGATCTCCCGACCCAACGGCGCCAACTAAAGACCAGGGCGTTTGAACACCGCACTAGAGCACCGCCGCTGCTGCTAATTATTCCTCGCATGGCCTCTAATCATGCCACAGCCACAGCCATCGATCGATGACAATAATCCAGGCAGGGCAGCAATAGAATAGATGAAGCTCGGGCAAGCAATGAACGAACGACTAATGGGAATAAAGGGATCATCCTCAAGCCGCCTATTCTAATGCAAAGTGGCTAACCCTGCATCTCTTTTCTCTCCACCCCTCATAGGCTATATCTTGTATGGGTAGGGGGACCCTTTTGGATGCATCACTCCACACACAGATGCACATGAGCGCACCGAGCTTTAGCAGCTGCATCACTGCATTTTTCATCGCCGGATGCCTGCAGGCTAACCCGCAGGCCGCAGCTGGTTCCCACCACGCACAACTGCGCAAGAACAGCCTGCCTACAAGTTCTTCTTTTATGTGTATGTATATATAAGTGGCCCTGACTGTTCATGGGGATCTGCACGTCGTGGAGCAAGCTAACATAAGCTAGCTGCAAATAAAGCCACAATCATGCATGTAGTTAGGATTAACTACACTGTTGCAATGTGGTACTGCTACTGGTCTGGTACTCGCCCACCATGGAGGAGAGGGGAGGGAGGGGGACCATTGGAATGGAAACCAGGCCAGAGGCAGGCAGGTTTCCGATCCGGAGATGTCCTCCCCGGCGCCAGGCAAAAGCTGCAGCTGGTGAAAAGCTCACTTCACCTCTGCAGCTCTCTCTGCTTCAGGGAGTAACTTCAGAGTATTTTTTAATAACTAAACAACGAACTTAGTAGTAGTATTAGTTAACTACTAACATTCTGCTAAAGCTGCAGTAGAAGTGTAGCACGTACTTAACAGTTGGTAATTTGAGTTCGTTTGGGAAAGAAGAAAAGACTTACACTGTGACGGCGTGGCCGCCGAAGGTGTAGAGGATGTTGGTGGCGCCGGTGAAGTAGAGCACGAGCTTGGCCGGGCCGGTGTGCGCCACGCCTTCGACCTGCATGCGTCGGCACGGACGACGGCGACAGTCAATCATTGGTAGATAATAGCATAGCATAGCCTGCTGCTTGCCAAGAGAGACGGATAGGAATCGGACAGCGTGCGTGTGCGTGTGCGTGTGGTGGGATGGCGCTCTCCTGGATCGGTGGCGGTGGCGCTGGGGTCTCACCTGGCCGTTGATGAGCGCGGCGATGGCGAGGTACCACGCGGTGTAGGTGGTCATGCCGAGCCCCAGGAAGGACCAGATCCGGTAGTTGTGGAAGGACGGGATGAACACCGTGGTGGCGCAGCAGGCGCCGAAGATGTACGTCCATGTCCGCTTGTCCAGCCGGTCGTTGATGTAGTAGATGTTGCTGCACGACGACACACACACAGAGAGATCTTCAGTCTCACCACGGTTCGTTCAGCTCCCCTGTCACGCTATGGATGGATGCGCAGTAGCAAGCAGAGCGCGGGCGACCCACCTCGCGCAGGCGATCAGCTGGATGACGGAGCCGAAGAGCAGGAACGTGCAGTTGAAGGCCAGACCGGCCGCCTTCCAGTAGGGGCCCAGCAGCCCGTCCAGCACTTCGAACCACTGGTCAACATCACATTCACAAGATTATTACTCCATCAGGGACGCTACTACAGTCTTACCAACAAGTTCGTATCTTCTGGTAAATAAACGACTGCTTAATTAAACCATGACACTTAAATCCCAGTCTGTTATTACTTGCGAAAACTGAGCTGCTTCCGATTTCGCCGGAGATAAGGATCATGGAATGGCTCACTTTTCATTTGGCAAAATGGCAAGCATGCGCAGCACAACAGAAGCATGTATATCATCGGCGCGTGACGAGGGGCCGGGCGATCAATACCCCCTCTCTCCCGTTTACACAAAAAGGCGGCATTTTTGCAGCCACGGCGGATCGATAACGACCAAACGGAACCCCAAAAAAAGCAAAAAAAATTCTTCTGGCAAAAAAGACGGAGCCCGGATGGAAAGGGACGAAACTGTAGTCAGTTACACATGTTATGGCGGGGAGGAGAAAATGGAGCGGAGACGACGACGAAGCAAGGAGGAGGAGCCATACCTGGATGACGTGGTTCTTGAAGCTGACGCCTTCCTTCTCCTTGCGGGAGCGGTACTCGACGTAGAGGACACTGATGAGGTAGGCGGTCCAGCTGCCCAAGAAGCCGTAGAAGATCTGCAGCAGGATGCCGGACAGCATGCCCAGCTGGGAGAAGGAGTACGGCAGCGTCAGGAGCACCTGCGCCACCTGCACAACCACGACCGAGAGGAAGAGAGAAGAAATTCAGTGTCAGTCGGTGGTGCTCTGTCCATGTTGCTGCATGAGCCGAGGCGGCGCTCCGCCATGAGTGAGGTGAGGTGAGGCCAACCTGGTTGGAGGCGCAGCTGAACCATGCGTCCCAGACGGAGCCGCCGTGCCACAGCAGGCTCTTCATGCTAAGCTTGCCGCCGCCGCCGTGCTGGTCGTCGGCGCCGTCCGCGGCGCCGATGCCCATGACCCCGACCTCTTCCTCCTTGCCGTTGCCGTCGGCCACGATGGACTCCTCCAGCTGCTCGCACGCCATCCTGAAGCGCCCGGCCTTCCCGTCTCCGGCCGCTGCGGGAGAAGCACGTATTCAGCCGACCAGATCAAGATCCAAACAACAATAAAAAAATACACAGCCCGTACAGAAACAGAACACAGAGGAAGGAAGGAAGGAACCACCGAACCAGCCGAGGCGCGAACGCGAACGAAGGAAAAAGTAACAAACAAGAACACCACCACCAACGCCAAGACGAACCTTTTGACAGGGGAAAGATTTGAAGATCGCGGATGGCCGGAGGGAGAGGCGAGCGACGTGCAGTAAATGCAGGGTGCGTTTCGAAAGGGAAGGGAATGGAATGCCGCGGAATTTACTGTGCTATCGACTGCAGGCTCTGTTCGCCTACGAGGGGCTAGCGTAGTGGCCGCGCCGCGCGGTTGGCAGGCAGGCAGGCAGACGGCGAGCCGGAGTTGCACAGTCTCAGAGCTGTGAGACTACGGACGGGGGCCTCCTCTTGCCCCGGCCCAACTTCTTCCTCCCTCCTTGCCCTGTTCTTCCTTTATGAGGGAGTAATGGCGAGGGGCTAGTGAGAGAGAGGGGGCGCGCGCCTATCACTCGTAGGTGAGGCGATGGGGAAGAGAGACGGAGCCCCTGCCTGCCTGTGCGTGTGATTCGGGGAGAGACCGTGCGAGCGAGCGAGAGAGAGAGAGAGAGGGTGAGGGAGAAACGATACCACTTGCGGCTTTATAACAAGCCGCTTGCAGACTGCCGAGGCGAGCCTTCTTCTCTCTCGGCCTTTTCACATTTCGCTCTTCAGTTTTTTTTTTATTAGTTTCTCTCTCCTCTCTGAAACTCCCTTCTTATGGATATAAATAAATTATCAGATAAATGCTTGCTCTTTATTTGCGGACTGATCTTTTTGGTAAAAGCCTGTAAGATTTACAATATTCCATTCTATGAAAACTGTTGTTCTTGAGATATGAAAACAGTTGTTCCGATAGAGAAGTTGAATGCTCTATTCACGAAAAAAAAGAAACATTCCAGAGATTAATATAAATTTTATCGTTGGCCTATTTGCCTTCCATAGCAAGAATACATTGTGGATGAATCCAAGCGGTTGGATGTGGATCCCAATTATCACAGAAAAAGTGGTAGATTTTAGCAATGATAAACGTATAACACATATATAGATGGACCTTCGAATGCAAAAACGACATATTTATATTGTCAAAGTACTCTACGTGATGATCAACATTATGTTGTGAACATTTCTTTTATATCACTCTAGAACTCCTACAAGTTAAACTAGTTTAGGTTTTACTCATCAATTTTTAAAATAATATGAATGGTTATGATTTTAAATAGATATACGAAAATATATATTTCATAGCGAATCTAACAACGCTATGAAATATATGTTTTGATATCATAATTATTAATATTTTTGCATTTGTAATGAATCTAATAATATTCTATACAAGATTCGCACACGTGTTATTTATTTTTAGATAATTTCGTGTGTGCCACTCGATAACTAAGGAAGTTAACATCCACCTAATAGGGTATGTACAAAAATAGGGGTCAACCACGAAAGTACCAGTACGACCTTTATGGCACGGACAATGTATACATACAAAGTAACCCCCATATCCAGGTATTACGCTTTAGTTCTTAGTTATTTTCGGACCCACATATTGTCATGTTCGCTTGGCTGATAAGACATGGCTAAAAGTCTTGTTGGCTGATTTGTTGTGAGAGAAAAATACTATTCATTGACTGAAAAAGTATGACTTATAAACCAAACGAATATGGCTCATGGTACGGACTTTATAAGTGGGCCAACTAGAAATAAAAACATTCTCCTCTCATTCCCGACGCCTCTCGTCCTATTCCAAGTCGACCGTATGTACAACATTGTCGGCCTCGTCTCCCCTATACTTCTACATCACTCCTTCCACGGCTCTGCCCAAATCGAGTCTCAAGACCACGGATAGTCGGATCGACTTCTTTTCTCGCCAAATCAACCTCAGATGCTAGGAAGGATGGGCGCCGGAGGGCTCCGCCTGGCCATCGTTGTCAGCGGAGTCCCCTCAAGCGGGCGCATTGCTTCTCGATCGTCCTAGACTTAGAAGGTGGGTGAGAGATAGCACAGAGAGGGAGAAAATATTTGTTTGTTGCTTATGGCCTACTCATATGCTGTGTTTAGTTTCCAAGAAGTTTTTCAAAAAGTACTGTAGTAGCTGTTATATCGAATCCTGTGATACGTGCATATAGAGCATTAAATGTAGACAAAAAAAACTAATTACACAGTTTGGTTGGAAATCGCGAGACGAACGTTTTGAGCCTAATTAGTCTATAATTAAACACTAATTGCTAAATAAAAACGAAAGTGCTACGGTATCCAAATTCTCAAATTTCACGAACTAAACACAACCATAGATACAAAATGTGCATTATTAAATTAGTAATAGAATATACTTCTATAACAAATTTGTTTGAATAGATGATAAAAGTATTTTAAATTTAGTCTAATTTTGAGATAGTTTGACCGGTACCATTGTCATAGTTGCAATTTTTTTTGACGAACTGTTTATTAATGTTGATTGGACAGCAAAAATGACTGACGGGAGTACTGTACTCGTACGTAAATTATTTATCCTTTCTGAGAGCGGTAAACTCGGAGAAACCCTTTACGGACATGGGTTGATTGGACTGCAAAAATGACTGACGGAAGCAACAGCTGGAAAGTGTCCGCTTGCTCCTCACAAGACACGGATACTCAAACTCACACGGTCAGAGGCCCAGAGGCTCAGAGCCCGTTGGTACCTTTTGTTTATCGCTTCCAATCCATCCACGGGAGGTTGCTTGGCACAGTTGAAGATGTGACTGAAAAAACGTATGTGCGCAGTGCTGAACAACTTTACCGATGGCTGATGCAACACTGAACGATGCCCTTCTTTTTCTTTGGGTTGGTGAGGGGACCCAGCCACCGGCACCGGCAGAGGGATCATCTGCCACTACGTCCCAGGCCGTTGGATCGGGAGCTTGGAAGGCACAGCCAACTTGCCAAGCACACTACGACCGGTAGCCCCTTCCAAGCAACGAAACCACCAGCCATTGTGACCGTGAGCGAATTTTATGATTCTCGCTTGCATTTTACAGTATGGTTGACGGTGCGTCGTCCTGCCGGTTGTTGCTACGCATGCTGCATGCTGCATGCTTGACGACCCACGCAAGTGTTTGTCGTTTTACAGTCTGCATTGCCAAAATGCCAATATGATGACACACTGCACACCTTGCCCTTTTCTTCTTTTTCCTCTGGGTCTGTTCCATGTAACGGCCAAGGCTCGTGGATGACATGTACAATAACCTTTTGCGTTTCCGACCTTCTAGAAAAAGAGTTGTCTGTACGTACCCAAATACATGGGAATGCAACTCTTTTGTGACTCCCCGTTCTTGTTCTTTTCTGTGATTTGCGCAAGTACAGTTAGGATTAGTTCTTCCATTTTTATTTTCACTTGGCACCTTTTGGATTTAGATTGGCGAATGAAAGAGCAAGCGCACTTTCCTCCATAAATCTTGTTACAATATAGTTCGGGAATAAAATAGTCAAACAAATTATTTCAACTCCGGTGTACTAGTATCTTTGTGCAGAAATACAGGCGCTACAGCTAAGAGTTATTGACGTATTTATTCGCAAGGTCTTCTGCTGTACATCAATCATGCTTATCACTGTTCAACAGTGGAGTGATATCATCACATCATTCAGTATAAGGCCCCGTTTTGGCACGGCTTTGTCTCGTGAAAAAACAGCTCGGCCTCTGGCTCGTATGGAAAAGCAGTTTTTTCTGGCTTTGTCTTATTTTGTACGAAAACGTTTGGTAAAACGGCTTCTTCTGGCTTTTCAGATTGGAAACAAGATGTCAAATGTCTAAAATACCTTTATATTTCTTTTTTCTGTTTTCTTTTTCTTTTTTCTCTTCATTTTCCTTTTCATTTTTCTTTCCTTTTCCCCCTTCTCTCTCCTTATCCGATCGGCCTTCCCTTCTTTTCCCCTCCTCTCTCCTTATCTGATCGGCCTTTCTTTCCTTCTTTCTCTCTTGGGCAGCGTCCAGGCCACCACCCGTGCCCCCACCTCCGTGCTCTCTGCTGGCGCATCAGGGGTCTGCGTCGCCGCCGCCGCCGGGGCTCCACCCGCGCCGCCGAGCTCCGCCATGGATGCTGCCTCCGCTCGCGCAGTCAAGCTCCGCAATGGCCGTGGCCTCGGCACGCCGCCGAGATCCAACATGGCCGCGGCCTCGGCACACCGCCGTGCTCCGCTTCGGCTGCTGAGCTTCGGCCCGGCCGTGGGCTCCGCACGCGCCGCCGGCCGCCATGGCGTCCGCCGGCCACCACCCCCGCCGCCGCCTCCACGCTGTTGCCGAGCTCGCAGGGGCACATGCATACTTTAGTATTTTGGGTGGAGGAATGAGCTGGTATGAGCCACTATTTTTGACTTCTCATCGGTAGAAGAACATAGAGAGCGGAAAAGGTGGGGCTTCTCCTGGCTTTTCCTCGTGAGCCATTTTGAGTTATAGTGTTTGGCAGGGCTTCACCATGAGCCGCTCAAGAAGCCGCTCGATAAGCCCTGCCAAAGAGGGCCTAAATGCAGTAGCTTCCTGCTGCTCGAAAGAAAGAAAAAACATATCCACAAAATTGTTTTCATCCTGCAAAGCTTTGATTATGTATAACCTGTCCATAAAGAGTCGTGCATAAATTCTGTGGACGGGTTTTCAGGACAGGAAAACATAAAAAAAATGCAAACCAGCAGGTTTGAAAACAGATGGTGTCGTCAGCATATATTCAGCAAATCGTATCAGGTCTACAAATACACCCCCGTATATTTAAAATGAGAAGCAAAATTTAGTATTATGAGGAGTTGCCAACTGAAGAAAAACAACAAATATACAAAAGGAGTAAAGTGATATACTAGATTAGTAATACTGCTACCATGTTAGGGTCTTGTTCGCTTCTCTTATAATCCGTCTTTTTTAGCTTGTTTT